GGCCAACGCAGCTGTTTTGTTTTCTATTATCGAGTGAACTGCCCACCGAGGAACATATTTAATGTATATTTCAAGTTATATTTGAGTAAATAAAGCAGCAGAGAACAGCTGATTAACTCACAGTGAACTCTATAATACTGCAGGAAGTGTCTGTAGATTAACAATCACACAGACTGAATAGGTTTCTGACAGACTCACTGTTTTAATTCTCATTGTTCTATTAGTTCTGTGGTTGTTTTATCTCAGATTTTATGATGCTGTTGTTCTTTGTACTACAAAGATTGAACTCACAGGAATAAATCATTTATTCATTGAGCTTATTGTTTATTTCATTTTAATGTTATTTAGTACCTTTTATTTTATGTTGAAAATAAATATAAAAAACAAATATGTAATTCTTCTCTCGTTGCTTTTTCCTACAGCTCCTGAATGCATCGGCCGTGAGCTCTGTGTGTGTGTGTGTGTGTGTGTGTGTGTGTAGATATGGCGAGGTATTTCCGCAGCGAGGTCGACATTAAGAGTCCATGGCATCAGGTGCTGGCCGCCTTCTGGCAGCGCTACCCGAACCCGTACAGGTAACGTTGGTTCTGCTTTATTTAACTCGTTTATCATCAGTTCTAAAGTTCTAAAGAGTTCTAAAACGGTCCTCTCCTTTTACCGTAATAAAGTTCTACCGTATTTGTGACGGTATATTTTACAGCGCCCACGTCCTCACCGAGGACGTCCTGTACCGCGAGGTCACCCCCAGCAACCACCTGTTGTCACGGCGACTGCTGACCAAGACGAACCGGCTCCCGGGCTGGGCCGAGCGCGTCTTCCCCGCTCACATGGCCCGAGCCGTGTACGTCCTGGAGGACTCCATCGTCGACCCGCACACACGCACACGCTCACCACCAAGACCTGGAACTTGAACCACAACACGCTGATGGTCAGAGCTCCTGTCAGTTACAGGTGTACCTTACAGGTGTACCTTACCTGTTGTCGGATAGCGGGGCTCTAAATGTGTGTTCAGACTGAAAGCAACCTGCTTTATGTGACCACTGCCCCGTTTGTGCAGTCCGAGTTTAACTGTCGCAAACAGCCAGTTTACCAACGACAGCTGTAGTGTTGAGCAAGTTACTGAAAATAGTAATTAGTTACTTTTCTCCAAGGTAACTGAATTACGTGTGCAGCCGTGTTGTGTTCAGGTTGTGCTGTCTGTCTCTCAGACGGTGGTAGAGCGGTGTTTGTTTGAGGAGGACCGCAGTCGGCCAGCTTGGACCAAACTGAAGAGGGAGGCCTGCATCTCGTCGGGGGTCTACGGCCTGGCCCGGCCCATACAGGTGCACACACACACACACACACACACACACACACACACACACACACACACACACACACAGGTTTATATTTTGTCTCAGGATTTACATTACAGATTATTCTGGCCTCCACTGGGGGGCGCTGGAGAGTTGGAGGGAGGCAAAAGATACCAGATGTTGTGAATTTGAGTCATACCTGAAACATACTGATGTCATTCTGTGTGACTTCCAGAGGACGTCATCAGCTCCGAACCGGGTTCTTGATCCAGAACGGAGCCGGTTCCCCGTTGGTGAAGAATTAGAGACGTAAATCCAGAACTGGACTTTAACTGTTTGTGTCTCTTTGCCAGGAGTTCGGTCTCGCCAGGTTTAAAAGTAACCAAGCCAGAGCCATGAAGGGGTTGGAGTACGCGCTGTCCAAGATACAGAGTAAGC